TAACTTTCAAAGATTTTCTGGTTTACATATAGAACGTATTTAACAGTTCCAGAAATAGAGAATTCCATGTACCCCGAGAATATTTTTATTAATAGAAACTCTGGATTCGAATAATACCAGAGTACTTATGATTTTTGATATTGTGACAAGTTTCAATATAAGAAACTATCGATAAAATTTGTTGAAAAATTCTGTAGCAACAAAAATATAGAACGAAATATTCTATAGGACTGTAAGACGCAATATCGTACTACAGTATAGTTAATTATGTATTTTGTCAAAATAATAATTTTTTTCCTGTTACATACGATTAGCAAATATATTAAATTCGTTTCTTATTTCTTTTCTAATTCTTTTATTTAAATACAGATTTGTACATTAATGTTCTGGCGTTACATCGAAAATGTTTCTGGAAACCAGGTAATTTTTACTAAAATTTTTAAAATTAATTATTAATTAAAATTGGAATTTGAGAAATTTATATTAAAAATATTGTATATATGTAATAATATTTCACATATCCAAAACTGTAGGACGATTATATTGCCTTACATTAGTATAATAGTTTCACAGTGTTGTTCTTTTGGTAGCATAATACACTGTTTTTCTAATGAATTTTCAATTAATATTTAAATTAATTACTTGTAAAATTTTTGGCTATACTCAAATCTAATTAATAATTATATAACAAAATACTTATAATATTTATTGTAAATTTAATTTGAATACTTCCAAACGAATTCCGTATATTCTTTAATGTCGTTACTCTTTAAATCTTCAAAAAGTTTCATTAATTTATTCATTTTCTTTCATCAACATAAAACTGCTTCTAAACTATTATCATTAATATCAATATTGATTGTGTATATGAAAGGTAATTAATGTTATTCTTAATAAAAAAATAAAAAAAACCTCTTCTCATCTTCTCCAATCCACTCGAAGAGTATTAATTTGATTCAAAAGAAAAATAACAAAATAAACTTATACAAATTAAATTTAATCTTTATAAAAATCATAACTACTTAATCACACTAATAAACGTTACAGAGTAAATGTGAAAATAACATTTAACTGAATTTGAAGGAATTATATCATGGTTTTTTTTTCTCAATTTCCAACTCCGATTAATAAAAAATTTCGTTAAAGAATAACAGGAATAATTGAGAAAAACAAATTCAATTGTGTATATAGAATAACATTCTACCTACGCACTTATAAATTTTCACTTCCGGACCCAATTTTTCAATTTAAAAAAATTCTTCTTCTTCTTCTTCTTTTGTATCTACTGTTTCTTTTATTGAAAAAAAAATTGAATCCAAGAATCACCAATTACTTATCAAAACACTTATAATGGGAAAAATAAAAATAAAACTTTGTTAATTTTTCAATAAAAAGAAATTGAATGAAACGAAGTTCTCTGATGAAAAACTCTTGAGACATCACCCTAATTCCTTAAAGTAGAATAACAAAGCCGTTTTCGTCTTACATAAAATATACTTTAACTATATATATATAGATTGTGCGTATATATAACAATAATAATTTTTGATGTAGATACCATGCCTTCCCTCTGGAATGTTAATAACTTATGAGTTATACTATATATTTGTACTTATCACCTTGCGTAAATTGTAAATCTTCCATATTATTATTTAATAAATTCATTTTAACTTCATTATTACTATATAATATACGAGTACACCTGTATATACCCCATCACACAAAGAAATATGGGATTCGTTTTTGGATTCCTCCTGTTTTTTTCTACTTATATCATTTTAACTTTCATTTATCATTTAAGTTATAAGTCAACTTTTAACAATTTTGTCTTTTTATATAAAATATTTTTTTTATATGAACGTTGTTATTTTATTATAGTATTTATGCTTATAATAACTGATTATACAATGAAAATGATGACATTTACCTATATATATGCAGACTATAAAAATAATAATGAATAATAAAACTTCTATTCTGAAAATATTTTGCGTTCTCCTTTAAACTTTTTATATTCTATTGATTGTATATGAGAAAAGTGTAACAGCTTAGAAAAAAAAAATTCGTTATTATGTTATTGTCGAATTCTGTAAGGTTTTGCAGTGTATTTAACTTCAAATTGTCTGTGAAAAAAAATTTTACTAAGTATATGCGGCATGGTTTAATTTACGCTTACCTTACTATTACAATGAACTTTAAAAAAAATAATTGATAATGACTGTTCAACAAATTATAATAGAATTTTTTCTTCAACTTAGATCATAGACTTTCAATTTAAATTTTGATTTGCAGCAAACATTAATTTTCTAATTTAAAAGAATTTTTCTGTAAATTTTTTTTTTTTTAAATTGTTAACATTAAACTTCTTAAAAATATGCAGCCTTTTCATGCATTTCGACGTAGACTTTTGCAGGAAATTACCAATAACATATAGAAGTACCATTGTTTGGAGTGCCAAAATCAGTATTTTATGTCAACTATCAAATGTTTATTTATATTTTTTGATTGCTATTTCAGTAAACAACTTTCATACAAAAGCATATTTTTTAAAATATTCGTTTGTATCAATATGTTTTGCAGTTTTTAATTCAAAATTTGAAAATTTAATACGACCATTCTCTTAAAATTCCTTGCTACATATGATTATTTCTTTCGTAAACTTTTAAGGGTAATATTTACTATGAACGTAATTTATATGATTGTTACATTACGAATATTCGGAGCAGAATTTTAGTAATTCGTAAATGACAATATGATATTTGTAATTTTCGGAATTTCATAGCTACGAACGAAATTCATGATAGGTCTGCATAATCAAAACAGCAAATTGTCAAAATATATGAAAATTGATGGACGAACAACAATAATATTTGTCACAAATTTTATAGAAAATACTCTTATGTTCGACTAATTTGCACTGTTACATGAGAACCCATCTTAAATACGAAAATTATCAAAATATTTAACATTCGCGTGCTGAAATATTCTTCGGTGTTTCTTTGACCAAGAATTTTATAAATTTCCTTTACAAGTGAAAATAATAACTTTTAAATGAGCTCAACAGAACAGCTGTACTATTTAATACTTCTAATAAGAATAGTTAGAGCAACTAAAAGTTTTTTCTGCTAAAGTTGATCTAATTGACTTTTAATTTACCAATTTGAGTACCTATACGATAAAATTTTACTTTAGTATTCTAGATACGACCAGAAGCAATAAGCAAAAATTTATAATATTGTTGTAGATTAAACGTAATTTAGTTTTTAACATAACAGTTTTGCATAATCTGCTAAAACTTTTTTATAATTTCAACTTTCAGTTTCGTACAGAGTAAGAAATAAATAAATAAAAAAATATAGATGAAAAGAATAGAAGAAAAAAAAACGTATGAATAAAAATTCCTTTTTATGTAATTTGATATTTTTTTTTATATATTTATAAAATAAAATAAAAAAATAATAATAAAATTATCTCAAATATTTTGAATTATACATGTATGTACAGACAGTTGGTGTAAATATATTAGATTGAAGGGGTGGGCCATCTGATAAGTAGCAGGACGGTTAGTATCAATTGTGACGGAATATGTTCTATGGCTTGTTAGATCTAACATATTAAAAATCTCATTAAAAGTTGAATTTTCCAGTTCTGTTTGCTGGAAGCAATTGGAAACAAATCTTCAGAATACCCGTCTCTTGAACATAATGGATTCCATATCACGTAGTTTCTCCAATAATACTGTTACTATATACAAACTATCAGATTAATCTCTTTTAAATGAAAATCTAGTATTTGCAATGATAAAGGTTATGGCTACAATTTAATTTATTGCATTCAAATTTATAAGAGTTCTCACTCAATTAATTAACTCAAATTGGCCCACTCATTGGGAATTATATTTCTATATCTACAATATTATGTTCGTACACATAAATTATATACGACACATACTTTTTACAACACAATACGAAAGTGAGTAAGTGTGATGTGGATGTGATAAAGGACATTAAACATTTCTGTATAGAAAAAAAAAACAATTTTTTTTCTTTTCTCATTTTTATTAAGATCAAACTGAATCCTAATAATAATAAAAAGAAAAAAGTAAAATTTTTAATTGGACATTTTTTCATATTCTCTCTTTGTTTCTAAATAAAATTATTATTTAATATTCTTTGTCAAATTATGACAAATATTTAAATACCCATATATTATTGAAAGCATGTTCGATTATTTATAATTGTACCTACAAATTATGTTTTTTCGTTCTTATATCCTGTAGAATACATTTTAATGTTGATGGATACCAGCAAAAATTAGAATATAGAATATAGATTGTGCGAAAAAATGACGTAAAAAAAAAATTACTGAAGCTCGTAAACTTTTAGTAATAAATTTTTGGAAGCCCGAAATTAATTGTGGTACAGTATATATATATACATATTCACATAATGTAAATTAAAGCGAAGAGAATTCGAATTTGTCATGAAATTAGCAAATTTATAAAAAAATTGGATTAAGGCAATTATCGCATGGATGAATAGAATTAATAGAACTTTTAACTTATTATAGAATTTAAGCATTTCTAGATTTTATTTAAGATAAATTCCAAGTAAATATTCGATCTAACACATACTTATTAACAAATTTTGAAAAGTTTTAATGACCTTCTTTTAATAATTGTATAATTAAAAATCTCTCGTTACTGTCGCTATTATAAAATACATAATCCATTTGACTTTATTTACTACTTAAATTCATAAAATATTAAATATTACCCAAAAAAATTAAGATCCCTAGATAAAATTATGATCAACTTGACTTGAACAACATAATCACTTATCGACATTATTTATGAAAGTCCATAATAAACAAAAAAATAAAATTTAACCTAAATCGTCAAAATATTATGTTGGACATTAAGAGTAAGTAGCAAATCAAATTAATATTTTATTTTTGTTTTTATGTTAAAACAAAGAAATAAATGCAAAAAAAAAACTTACCAGTTCCAGCTTGACTATGTAATAATGGATGATGTCCACTAGCAGCAGCCGCTGCTGCTGCAGCAGCTGCCGCAGCAGCACTACTCATATTATGTGGCATAAATGCAGCAGCAACAGCAGCATGTGCATTAAAATATGCTAAACGTGATGCAGCCATTGTCATTTGATGATGTTGATCAGCTGTAAATGTATTTTGATTAACATTTGAATATAAAGCTGCTGCTGCAGCTGCAGCTGCTTGTGCATTATTAGCTGTTTGTGGTGTTACAGCAGCTGTACCAATTGATGGTATTATCGTTGGATTTGATATTGTTGTTGTCGATATCGATGATATGGATGGAGATGATGATGACGATTGTTGTTGTTGTAATTGATTTTGTTGCTGCTGTTGTTGTTGCTGTTGTTGATGCTGTTGTTGAATTGATTGAGATGATGATCCTTCATTTATTATTTGTGATATTGTTGTTGTTGATGAAGATGATGATGAAGATGATGCTGGTACTGTTGATGTTGTTGTTATTTGAGGTGATATTGTTTGTGATGTTGGTATCAAATGATGCTGTTGTTGCTGTTGTTGTTGTTGATGATGGTGATGATGTGATGATGATGATGATCCAATAATTGAATTTGTATTTGTTAATCCAACATTACGTGAAGTATCACTTAATCCCAATAATTCTTGTATACCAAATGGTGATCTTTGTGGCATAATTAAAGTTTTTATTAATTTTTTTTTCTTTTATTTTTTATAATTAGTTTAACTTGTTTTTGTTTTTTTTTATTTATTGTATTTTTTGTCTGTATTGTTCAATGATGGTCAAATTTTATAACTCTAAAATTAATTTTAGATTTGTTCACATACTGGTTAGCAATCAATTTGTTATTTATTTTTTTTTCTAATTTTCTATTAAATGAATGAATGACTCAATGATGAATTTAAAAAAAAAAAAAAATTGTTGTTAACTATAGAGGAAAAATGTTGTTTTTCATTGTAATCGATAATCACTTAAATGGCTTCCAAAAGAGAAACAAAATAGCAACAAAAGCAAATTTATATTTGGTGTCTTAGTATCGTTATAGGTCGAGCCAATTTAAAATTTTTGATTTATTGTCTTTTTGACTTCAAGTTTCTCATTGTTAAATAGTTTGTTGTTTCTATACAAATTTCATATTTGTATATGTACTTATAAATAAGGAGATTATTAATTGGAGAATAATATTGAATAATTGTTAGGTCTTTATGAATTTATGGTCATATAAAATATAAAAGTTAATCATAAAATATAATCACCATTGCTCTATAATTTGTACGCGTAGCTGAATACAAAATTAAAATATAATTGGGTCAAGAGTAATGGGCTCTTTATTTCAAGAAAATTACACATAATTCTTATAACACTTGTATTAAATGTAGATTGAATTGATTTAGATTTGAAATATTGTTTGATATTTGGAAATATTTATAATATTTTTTTTTAAAAAGAGCTTGTAATTTTAACAAAATATACATACATTGATGTGTTAATTTTAAAATTAAAATTTTAATTTATTTTACAAGTTTTTCGGTTTCTTTTATTAGAGAATTATACAAAATATTTTTAATATGTTTGATATAAAACAATTAAAATTTTATTATTTAATTTTATTTTAATTTTACGCCTAAAGTTCAGAGAGACATTTAAAGTTTCGTGGAAATCGACGCATAAATTATGCAAAAAAAAATTGGTATTTATTAATTTTGTTCAGGTTCTCTTAATGCAGTCAGCTGGTTTATTTACATATGAGTCCGATTAGTTAAAAAGGTGAAAAATTCTTGATTTGAATTAATTGTATTTAATTCTGTCCGTCTTAATTTGGAATATTAATTATGAATTAATATCTCAATTATTAATTAATAAGTTTAGGTTTAACTAATATAATACTAAGCATTATTTACTAATAATGTAGATTACATTATAAAATAATGTGAAGAACAATTGGTAGAGAATTCGCCTAGAAAGCGGTAAAGTCACTAGTTCAAGTCCACTTCAAGGAGAAAATTATTTTAATAAATTTTTCTACCTTGACTTCGTTCTTTTGATTATTTTATTCATATATGTTCTGCAGCTGTACGAAGAAATTTCCACATGCCATTCTTATAAGAATCAATCAAAAAAAAAATATAAACAACTACACGTTGTATCAGTAATTTATAATAGCATTAACTTAAGTTTTTGAATATTGGTTTATTAACTTCCAAAAAATCAGACAAAAATTATATATGCATATAGAAATGTTAAATGATTTAAATATTTTTAAAATATATTAAAAATTATTAGGTAAGAAGATCTATAAATCAAACATAATTTTAAAAGTTAAGAGCGGAAGTAGTTGTACTTAAAGTAAAAAACCTCGTTTTTTGAATAAAATTCTAGATAAATCAAAATAATACTTTTATACTGATAAAAATTAATGTTCTATATTATGAGTATGTATTTATTCTAAATTATAATCGAATACATTAGATTAGTGGATCTCGAGCGATTGATGTAAGGTTATACCCCCACACTCAGGGGGATGGGAGCACAATAGATCCATATGCGTAGTTATGGTGCTTTGATACCACGATTTTACAAATCTACAGCCTAGAATCTATTTTAAATTGGATTCTAATAATTTTTTGAAATTCTTTAAATCTAGAAATAATTGCTTTTATAAAACGATTATATTGTTCAAAATAATTTCATATTTTTTAGAAAATTAGGTGTTCTATCAATTTGTAAAATAATTTATTATTTATTTATTAAATTAAATTAAACATTATAACTAAATGTTTAATTTCTCACATAAATTGCTTTATTAAAAATTCTTTGCATTTTTTATAAAAAAAAAAAAAAAAAGAAAAACAAATCCTTAAGAGTAATTTTTTAGTTTCATTTATTGCCCTCTATAATTTTTAGAATTGCTTGTATTTATAGTGAAAAAATTATTTAAATTAAAACTAGTTACATACTTTGCAAGTTTACAATAAAATATTCAAGAATTATTTTTTGTTTATTCAATTAAATATTAAAATAAAAATATAAATTTACCAGCCCAAAGAAAGTTATGGAAATATTCATTGAAATTTGTTATTCTTAAAAACTTATTTAGATTTTTTCTTAAGAATTCTAAAGAAAATTTAAATAATTGGATTTGTTAGAGTATTATATTTTTGATTTATAATTAAATTGTTTAATTTAAAATTTCTGTCTGGTTTAAATTGTAAAATCAATTATTAAGAACAAATGCTATTTTAAAATAAGCACAAATTGATCCAAAAATTTTTTTAAAAGAAATTTGTTTAAGATAATGCATAGATCTCCTTAAAAACACTTGAATATTTTGTTGTGCAAAAAAAAATTGAAAAATAAAATAAAATTATTTCAATACAAAATGAAATTTTGTAAAACAAGGATTTACAAGGATTTTTTAATTATTCTTTAAAAAAAATATTTTAAAGTAAAAGTAAACAATTGGAAGAAAATTATAGAAACAAAAATGTTGATTAATAATAAAAATAATAAGGCTGACCAAACAAAAAAAAAATTTTTAAATTTTTCAAAAAAAAAAAACTAAAATATTTTACGAAAATAAAATTTAATAGTATTAGAACAAATGAAATTTCTAACTTTTTAAATGAAGTTTATAAAAAATTCAAAATAATTTAATTTAATCAAATCTTATTGCTTAAAAAATCATTACTGTCCAATAATAAGCGTCATAACTATTTTCTTGATTCAATATTTGAAATTCATTTAAATAAATTTAAATAGAATAATATCCCTCATGTTGTTACAACTATATATTTGGTATATATAGAACTAGATACCAAAATTTTATTAGCTATAATGAATAAGAATTAAATGCAAACACTACTACAATATTCAAATTTAATAAAAATTTATTGATAATTTGAAAAGAATTTTCTATTAAATCAAAAATTATTTTTATATTTTCCTTAAATAATTTTAATGTCATAATTAAACAAACAATTATCCAAGAAATTTTTTCATATTTAATATTTTAAAAAAATTTCGGACTTTCAATTGTAAAATTCTTAAAATGTTTTAAATATTTCCATATTTTTTTTTTTTTGATATTCCTTATATATACGTACTGATATTACTAAAAATTTTGTTTATTTGTAATTTATATAGTCACTTAAATTTGTCTTTTACAAGAGATCTTAAGCAAATAATATTCACAAATTTTTATAAAATTTATTTACAATAATAATACCAAAATGTTAATATGTAAGTGTTTCTAATTTAATTATAAATTAAATAAAATTTTTAAATATTATTTTAGTTATTATTTTTATTTTAGTGTAATGTTTACAATTAAAAAGTAAAATTTTATATTTAATTCAAAACCTTATATTTTACACTGTTTTCACTATGTTAGTATTTTACAAATATAGAACAAAAATTTCAAATTTATTATAATAATAAATGGTACTTAATCCTGAATTTATTTAATTGATTTCGCGAATAATATATTTATATATATATTTTTATTAAAATAATTACAATTTTTCTCATATTTAACATATTATAAAATAGTTAATTTGAAAATTAACACGAAAATTATTTATAACAGTTCTGAATATTTTTTTCCAATTGAATATCTTTCAAAAAATATAAAATTATATAAGAAATTTTTTTGTAATACAAATAAATTCTAAATAAATAAATAAATATAATTTTATTATTTACTGTTATTATTATGTTATTATTATCATCATTTATTATTATTGTATGTATAAGGTAAACATGATAGAATTATTATTGACGTTTATTGTTCACTTTATATACTTGTTTTTTTTTTCTGTTTATTTATTTTTTGTTTTCCTTTCTTATATATTATATTATTTATTTTCACTGTTTATAATTTTGATATTATGACGTTATATTTCGAAAAACAATTTTTTTTTTATTTATTTATTTATTTTTTTTTTTTGTTATTTAGTTAGAATAGAAATAACAACCTAACCTGACGCGATATCGCGATAAATTACTGCATTAAATTGTTACGTTTATTGATGATAGCCAAAAAAAAAAAATTGTATGCAAAACCGGTTTTTGTTTTTTTTTTTTTTGTCATCATCTATCATCTCAACATATTTATACAATATAGGTAGATTTATAGTAATCATTATCATTATTTTATAATCATTATCAAAATACTATATACTAACTATCATCATATAATCATCATATATATTTGTTTTTTTTGTTTTATTATTATTATTTTTTTTTTTTTTTGGTTTTTCACAAATCGTCATCGCGTTTAGGTAGTAGCAAATATTTTTCTCATATCAAAATATATTGGAAAAGAAGAAAACAGAAATTTATTTTATTTCATGTTTTTTTATTTCTCATTTTGATTATAAACCAACGAAGAAAATAAAGAGAAAATTATAATATTTTTTTTCTTCTTATTATTATTTATTATTATTATATACAGTAATTGTTATATGTATATGTATGTACATATATTTGCATATTGTACATATATGTGTAATAATATAAGAATAACAATAAAATATAATAATAATAAAAATCAAGTATGAAAATTATCGAAAGGCAAAAATAAAAAAAATTAAAACATAAATAAATCCTAGAATGTCCTGAATGACTGACACACGACTATCCCAACCAGGATATTTGTAGGAAGAGAAAACACACAGAATATAGAAAACCAACAAATCAACATAAAAAGTAAAAAAGGAAATACTGTGAAAAATAAACGAAAAATAGAAAAAGTAAGGAATAGAAAAAAAAAAAAATAAAATAAAATAGAATA